GAAAGAAGCCGGACAGATGTTTGTGGTAGTGGGGCAGCATTTAGGCAGTACCGAATACAACACAGTATGGTTCTAATTTGTTCTGGACAAGGATAAAGATGGCCTGCAAAAGACCGCCTTGGACTGAGGGAAAGCAGATTTTATTCAAATAAACCAGGATCTGGCCACAGTAGACTGGGAAGAGCTCCTTGCGGGTAAGTCTACAGCGGAGCAATGGCGGGGGCAGTCAAAAGGGGCTGGGGAGAGTACAGGTCCGATATGTACCCTTTAGAGGGAAATATAAGACCAATAAGTTCAGAGATATCCAGGACAGTTCAGGACTGGATAAAGAAGAGGAATAGGGGTTTTAGCAAGTCCAAAGGAAGCAATTCAGCTCCAGCCCTAGAGGAATACAAAAGGTGCAGGAGGGAACTTAAGAAAGCAATTAGAAGAGTAAAAAGGGGGAATGAAAAAGGACTTGCAAACAGTATTAGGGAGAATTCTAAGATATCTTGTAAATACATTAAAGGGAAGAGGTTAACCAGGGAAACAGTAGGGTCCATTAGGGATCAAAGGGTGCAACTTCTGTGTGAAGCTGCAGGATATTGGAAAGGCGTTGAATGGATTCTCCTCTTTGGTCTTTACTCTGGAAAAGGAGAACATAGGTACAGAATTCAGGAAAAGGAACTTGCAAAGTTCCACATAGGAAATGGGAGGCCTTATGGGCTTAAAAACAGACAAATTCCCTGGCCTAGATTAATTGCATCCCAGGATGCTGTGGGAGGCAAGGCAGGAAATTGCCGGGGCTCTGACACAAATTTTTAATTCCTCTCTGACCACAAGGGAAGTGCCAGAGGACTGGAGGACAGCTAATGTGGTTCCAATTTAAGGGGAATGGTAGAGATGAACCAGAGATTACAGACCGGTGAGTCTCACATCAGTAGTAGGGAAACTATTGGAGAAAATTCTGAAAGAGCAAATTGGGTCAATTAGGGAAAGTCAGCATGGCTTTGTCAGTGGGAGGTCATGTCTAACAACTTTGTTAGAATTTTCTGAAAGTGTGATCAAGTGTGTGGATGAGGGAAATTCAGTTGATGTAGTTTATATGGATTTTAGCAAAACTTTTGACAAGGTCCCACATGGCAGACTGATTGAGAAAATTAAAGCACATGGAATTGAGGGAAACTTAGTAAGAAAGGGTAGTGGTGGAAAGCTGTTTGAGTGATTGGAGGCCGGTGTCCTGCAGTGTACCACAAGGATCAGTACTGGGACTCTTAGTGATTGTTATATACATAAATGATATACATGAAAATGTGAGGGGAATGATAAGCAAATTTGCAGATGACACCAAGATTGATAGAATGATTAAAAACAAAAAGGATGGTTGTATATTACAAGAAAATATAGATGGGTTGGTCAGATGGCTCGACTCATGGCAGGTGGTATTTAACCCTGATGAGTGTGGAGTGATGCACTTTGGAAGAAAAAACAAAATGAGGGAGTATTTAATGAATGACAGGACACTGGGAGGAGCTTAGAGGAACAGAGGGTTCTTGGGGTAATTATTCACAGATCCCTGAAGTCGGCAGAGCATGTGGTTAGGGTAGTTAAGGCATATAGGACACCTGCTTTCATCAGTCGTGGTGTAGAATGGAAGTTAAGAGGTAATGTTGGAGTTGTACAGAGCATTGTTCAGGCCATGACTGGAGTACTGCATGCAGTTCTGGTTGCCTCATTACAGGAAGGATGTGATAGCACTGGAGGGAGTACAGAGGAGGTTCACCAAGATGTTGCCTGGGATAGAGAAATTGAGCTAAAAGAAGACTTGATAGGCTTGAATTGTTTTCTTTGAGGCAGAGAAGACTGAGGGCGGACATGATCAAAAGATTATGAGGGGTATGGACAAGATGAATAGAGAGCAGCACTTCCCCTTGGTTGAGGGGTCAATCATGAGAGGGCATAGTTTTAGGGTTATGGGCAAGAGATTCGGAGAGGATTTGGGAAAAATCTTTTACGTTCAGCGAGTGGTGGGAATCTGGAATGCACTGCTTGGGAAGGCAGTGGAGACTGGAGACCTTACAACCTTTAAAAAATATTTACATGATACTTCAGATATCATAACATTCAAGGATCTGGGACAAGTGCAGGAAATTGGGAGTAGTGCACTTTTAGTGGTAGTTATGTTGGTGCAGACCCAATGGGTGGAAGGGCCTTTTCTGTGCTGTATGAATCTATGAATCACCTGTTTTCCTGAGGATTACCTTTGGTTTCTATTGTAAACTGCTCTATATTAGTAATAGTAATAGTATTTGTGTGAGTAGCTGGTTGTCGTCGTCTTGCTCTGTGTTGTATTTTGCCAAATTTTCTGAAAGAAACCTGTTGTTTTACAGGTAAAGCATTTTTTAATAAGTGGGCACTGCTGGTGCTGTGCAGTTTCCTTTCTCCATAATGCTGGCATCAACTTTTGAGACTTGCTGTCTGTCCTAATCTATAAGTGGCTTCTCATGTGTATCTTTGTGGTTTTGTACTTTAGAAGGTAACTGGATTATGCAGATCTCCTGTGAGAAGATGATCCCCTTTTAGGATCGATCTGTGCTGTTTTCAGACTTGTTTTCAGACTTCACTCACTGTCTGAAGGGACTCTGTACAGTCATATCTTTTTTTTTTGACAAATAAATTTGACAAATACCCATGAACAATTCCAACAACAATTCTAATGTGTTAAGAACTCTGACTTTAAATCTCCATAAATCACATTTTTCTACCAATCTTAGAGATCATAAATGAAATCATCCTTGGATTCCCCTGGATGCTGAACACTTCTATTAAATCTTAGTCTTTCAAGAATTTTGTTTATTCTGACATTTAAGGTATTTTGCAAAGGCTTACAGAGTTCATCAAAATTATCTGTTTTCACTTGCGATTCTGATTTAATATCGGTTTCGATGCAATTCTGTATCTTGAGAATTGTTTTCTCCAAATGTCCTATTCAATGTTTATTTGGCCTATTTCTGAAACTAAATCTTCCTGATAATATTACTTCTGTTGCTATGTCTTCTAAATATTTATTTTTCTTTCTTTGAAGGCTCTTAATTCTGCCGTATAACAATGCTGTTACAGTATACTGAAAGCTTTACCCATGCTTTTGCAGCCAAAAAGGATTCTTGTGCTCTGCAAGTAAAGTGGAGGATTCCTACCTTCAAGTGAAATAGATGATTTTTGCCTTTTTTGTGGCTTCTCCAGATGAATCCCTCTAATCACAGCCTTAATAAACAATTCCTCGTTCCTTATTACTTTACTGAGTGAATCCTGCTGCCTGTGGCTTTATTAAATGACTCTTATTCTCTTAATGGCTTTACAAAATGAGTCCTGATCTTTGTAGCTTTATAGATTCTTTTAGCGGATTTCCCCAGACAATGCTCACGGTCTGAGACGCTGTTTAAAGTTCCCATTGGTTTCTACTTTTTTCCTGGATGAATTCTGCTATGTGCGGTTTCAATAAATGCTTCCTACCTTTTGTTGTAAGTAATGGATGTTTCACCTTTTCTGCAGCTTCAATAGTCAAATATTTGAAGAAGACAGAAATTCCCAGCAGTAAGGGAGATGATCAGGGTTCCCATGTGCATTCCTTTTAAGAATTCAACATACCAAACACCTCAATATTTTATATTTCACAGTTAATAGCAATGCAATGGTACTGTAGGATAAGCAGTTTCAGAAAATACACTTATACTTCATCAATGGACTGAGTCTAGTTAGACATATTTTTGATCCCAATTTAGTGAAAATAATCAGTCACTCATTCAGGGTGGTGCTTCTCACACTGTTAGTTGGATTTGATGAGACGTGCCTAATGTGAATGTTAGTATCACATGTTTTCTTTCCCTTCACAATTTTTAAAATATAAATTGTTTCCTTGAAATTTAAACAGTTTGTGTTTGCAAGAAAACAGCAGTTGCTGGATACCTTTAAAGGTATGAAGGGATTTTATAGACTAGGTATAGAGATGATTCCATTTTTGAAACCAAAATTAGGATCCATAAATAAAGATGGTCACTAACAAATCCATTAAGAAATTTGGGAGAAACATGTTTATCCAAAGAATGGTTAAAGTATGAAACCTGTTACCACGAGTAGTCATTGACATGAATCTCACAGATGATTTTGAGGGAAAGCTGGTTAACACTGGGGGTGAAAAGAATGGAAAGAAATTATTAGGGTTAGATGAAAGTGAATCAGACAATGCTGCATGATGAGTAAACTCCAGCACAGATCATTTGGGCTAGATGGCTAATTTCTGTGTAATGCGTTCAGTTTAAAACTGTAAAGGACAGCCCTTTGTTGTGAAGGACACATATTGACCCTGTTTGCTTCAAAACATAGAACTTTTGCTTTGTCTTGAATGGCCAGTGGCAGTTTTGACAATAACACAATGAGCCAAGTTTTTGACTCGCTGTGGGTTTACACTTGGCATCATGGATTGCCTGCTCATTATAGAAACTATTCTGTATTTATTTGTATTAATGTTAATTGAAATGAAAATTAATTCCTACAATGAGTAGGTTCTATAAATCTGAATTTAAAACAATATGCTGTAAACACTCAGTTGGGTCAGGCAGCAGTGTTTAAATATCATGGAAAAAGACATGATTTATTTACCCATAATCTGGACAAGATGAATGTAGCAACTACAGCTTGAAATTTAGTAAACCGGAATCAAATAATAGACAATCTCAATCAGGTCATCCTCACCTGTATTTTCGACTGATTTTATAGAGGTAGTTGTATAGTTTTGTGCTTCCAGTAAGAGATTATGCCCTTCTGGGGAGTAAATGCCTTTATTTCTGATATGCTATATACAAGAAGACAAATCTTAGTGCTGGAAGGTGTTACCAATTCATGCAGTGTAATTGATCTTATTGACAAGTAAATAAGGAAGTACTTTTGATTTAATTACACTGATTTTGCTCTTTACCCAGGCAGTTATATTGTTACTTTAAAATGGACCCTTCTTTCTCTAGGTACTTGCTGTTCTGGTAAATATATTTGGTGGCATCATGCGCTGCGATGTAATTGCTAAAGGTATTATTCTGGCTGTGGAGAACTTGGATTTGAAGATTCCAATAGTTGTGAGATTGCAAGGTAAGCATGGTGGTTTCCATTAACTGAACTATGGAAAGGTGTTTGTCTTTGCTCTGTTGCTTTCCACTTAACCTCTCTCTAACTAGGAGAGCTGCACTTCGTTGCATCACTGCACTGTTGCATCAATGAGTGACCACCGTTAGAAGTTCATGTAGTAAATGCGCTCCCAGTACATTTAACTTCAATCATATTTTCCCTACTCCGTGTCTCACAGCCCATAGTCATTGCTGGATGTTGCAGCTGGTAGTTTTTTTGAAGTTGGTGATTGCTGTTCAGTGGAATGCTATTATCAACAGCAACTATTTGTATTTATATAGTGCCTATGAGATAATAAAGCATTTATTTCTAAGTGCTTCATAGGAGCAGTATAAAGCAAAATTACTGGATAAGGTAAATACGGACAACATGGCAGATGGCTAAGAGCTTTTTCAAAGAAGTAGATTTTTAAAATTCATTCTCAACGTGTGAGCGTCATTAACATTTATTGCCCGTCACTAATTGCTCTTGAGAAAGCAGTGGCAAGGTACATGTCTGGTGTAGGTACACCCACAGTGCTGTTAGGGAGGGAGTTTCAGGATTTTGACTCATTCACAGTGAAGGAATGGTGATTATCAGTTCCAAGTAAGAACAGTATGTGACTTAGAGGGGGACTTGTTGGTGATAGCTCTACCACTCTTCTTCTTCACAGTGGTAGACGTTGCTTTTTTGAAAGGCATTATTGCAGGAGCCTTGTAGAGCTGCTGCAGTTCATCTTGTAGATAGAAACATTCTATGGTAGCATCACAGGTGCGGTCATTTAGCCTGCCACATCTTTGTCTGTTCTTTGCAAGAGCAACTTGGCTGTTACCACTCTCCCTTTGTTTTTCCCCTTTTAAATACCATTGGTTTTGCTTCACCATGATCTGAAGCTGTGAGATTGCCACATTTCACATCATTTCCACCAGCCTTTTGAACCTTTTCAAGTGTCCTCACAGTTGACTCCCATGTTTTGGCATTTGCATATTTTGAAATTGTGCCTTGCACATAAAAATCAAGGTCTTTAAGATCCATCAAGGAAAGCAGAGGTCTAATACTGACCCCTGGGGATCTCCACTATATACTGTTTTCCACTCTAAGAACTAACTGTTCACCACCACTCTCTTTCACCTGTAGTCTGCCCACGTTATATCCTGCTGCTAATGCCCCCTTTATTCCAGGGGTTTTAAATCGACCAAAAAGCCTGGCATGTGGCACTTTATCAATGTCTTTTGGAAGTCCATGCACCCACATATCAACTGCATTGTACCCATCAACACTTTCAGTGATTTCAGCAAAAAATCGCAATTAAGTTAGACAATATGGTATACTCACTGCTGTGCACCAGTGGTGAAGGGAGTGAACATTCAAGGTGGTGGATGGGTGTCAGTCAAGCAGGTAGTTTTGTCTTGGGTGGTTGTGTTTATTTCTCTGAAAACGCACTGAGGTGAATGTAAAATATTTCACCTGAGCAGCACTACAGAGTTTGTGTCATATTTTTAATTTCACTGAGACATTTTCTGCTTTCTAAGAATCCTTTTCCATCAAACATTTGGAATATTGAAAATTTACTGCTTTTTTTTCCCTTTACTAATTCTTTATTTTTGCAAATTACTTCTATTGTTATTTCTGCATAATCTCAAATTGTAGTTTTACTGCTTTCTGTAAGTTTTAAACCTTTTCCTTTTTCTTCTCTGTCCACAAATATTTTCGTTTTCTAATAAGTCAAGCTACATTTGCCCAACTCACCCATGTTCTCTTGCAATATAATTACTGACTTATGTTAAGCTACAGTTTTTGGCTACTGCCCAGCATCATCTTGTCCAAATCTCAGTTCACTTCTTTGTATATGAGGTTTCAACACGTCAACTGTGTCAGCAACTAGTTGACTGATAGCTCACTCAAAAATCACTTATCGCTTAGTGCTGGGTTTTACAAGAAAACCTCCCAAGTTGCTTATCTGACTCAGAAAAAGGCCTCAATTGTCATATCCTTTGTTCCAGGTTGCAGGGAGGTGGGATGAAGCTGGACATGCTGAATCCAAAGCGCAATGTTGACAGCCACACAGGAGACGAAGTGTTGAGGCCAGCTGGTTAATGTTTTGAATCTAATATGACTCTTCTTTATTTTAGAACTCCAGTATCTGCAACAGTTCACTTTTATTTACGAGGCATTATTTGATTTTAGGCTCTTTAGCTCTCACCTCCTGCACCCACCATTCCAACTCATCGGCTCATGCCCCCACCATGTGACTTCAGTGGCCCCCAAATGCCCCCCACCAAAGGATGCCTCTGTGCACCTCCCTATGGACCTTATAACTCCAAAGCCAACGTGTGCTCCCCCACAAAGCCCTATGCCATCTCATGTCTTCCACTACCTACATGGCCTCATATAGTTCTCATGCCAATTATACCATTCACCTATGTCCCTACAACCCATTGCCCCTTATTGCCCCTATAAAAATTCATGACTTCCAAATATCCTCAAAGTTCCACATACCCACCATGCTAACTAACTTGGTTTCCATGAAGGACAAACATCGGGGCTCATGAGGAGATAAAACCAAAACAAAGTTCTCAACATTTAATACAGATTTCAGTACACAGACTTGATTTTAAGAATATTCCATATGAGACCCCATTCATAGCTTTTAATTTCCCACAAAGGGTGGTTCATACGTGAAATGAACTGTCAGAGGAAGTGATATATGCAGATACAGTTGCAACATTTAAAAGACATTTGGACAGCTACACAAATAGGAAAGATTTAGAGCAATATGGGCAAAATGCAGGCAATGGGATTAGTTTAGTTTGGGAAACTTGGTTGGCATGGACAAGTTGGACCGAAGGGTCTGCTTCTGTGCTGCATGACTCTATGACTGTATGACTCTGAGTGTTCAGTTTCTTATAAAAGCAAGCAATTCTGCACATAACCCAAGTCATAGACGGCTAATCCTTCAATAGGCCTCTAACCTATTGAAAACTATAACATTGCAAACTAAGAATCCCTGCTGAGATAATTGTAGGTTTTGAAAGTCAGCCAACACTTCACAAAAAGCCCATGAGGAAAGATCAACAAATAACTATTGAACAAAAACAAAAGTTGCTGGAAAGGCTCAGCAGGTCTGGCAGCATCTGTAGAATAATCAGAGTTAAGGTTCCGGGTTCAGTGACCTTCCTCAGAATTGATGGTAGCTGGGAAAATATCAGTTTATATACAGAAGAAAGGGTGGGAGGAGGGGTTAAGGAGTAAATTATAGGTGGGGATAGAGCCCAAAGAGAGAGAAGAGCAGTTGGATGGACAAAGGAGTTGATAACGATATGGCTAGGAGGGTGAATAGCTGTTAAATGGGGACTGTTAGTGACTAACAATAGGTAGTGTGCAATGGCAGACTATGTGATAACAATGCTTGATGTGTGGGGTTGGGGGCTAGGACGTTGGAGAGTTTAGGCCCTAAAATTATTGAACTCAATATTGAGTCCGGTGGGCCGCAGGGTCCCCAAGTAGAAAATGAGATGTTGTTCTTCCAGCTTCCACTGTGTTTCATTGGAACACTGCAGCAAGCCTGAGACGGAGATGTTGCCCAGAGAACAGGGTGATGTGTTAAAGTGGCAGGCAACTGTAAGCTCATGGTCTTTTTTGCAGGCAGAAAGTAGATGTTCTGCAAAGCGGTCACCCAGTCTATGCTTCATTTCCCAAATGTAGATGAGACCACATAGTGAGCAGTGAATGCAGTGGACTAGATTGTGGGAAATGCAGGCAAAGTGTTGCTTCACCTAGAAGGTATGTTAGGGCCCTTGGATAGTGGGGAGGGAGGAGGTAAATGTGCAGGTGTTACACCTTTGGTCGTTGCAGGGGAAGGTGCCATGGGGCTGTTGTGGCAGTGGGGTTGTTGGGAGTGAAGGAAAAGTGGTCCAGGGTGTTCTGGAGGAAACGGTCCCGTGGAAGGCGGACAAGGGAGGGGTGGGGATATGTGTCTGGTGGTGGCATCTCACTATCTTCTGGATGTGGATGCTGGTGGGATAGTAGGTAAGGACAAGGGGAACCCTATCACTGTTGTGGGAGGGAAGACAAAGGGTGAGGGCGGAAGTGTTGGAGATGGGTCAGACCCTGTTGAGGAAGATAGACATTTTGGAGGCTCTCTTGTCGAAGTTGGCCTCATCTGAACGTATGTGATGGAGACAGAGGAGCTGGCAGAATGGAATGGAGTCTTCACAGGAAGCAGGGTGCGAGGATAAATAGTCCAGGTAGCTGTGGGAGTTGATGGGTTTATAGTGGATATTAGTGGACAGTCTGTCCTCCGAAATGGAAACAGAGATGTCAAGCAAGGGAAGGGAGGAGTCCGAGACCAACCAGGTGAAAGTGAAGGCCGGGTGGAAATTGGAAGCAAAATCGATGAACTTTTCCAATCGCGGACAAGAGGGGAAGCAGCACCGATGGTATCATCAGTATATGGGAGAAAGAGTTATGGGTGGGGACGGGAATAGGACTGGAACAAGGAATGTTCCACATACCCCAAAAAGAGACAGGCATAACTGGGGCCCCTTGTGGGTACCCATGGCAACCCCTCTGACCTGAAGAAAATGAGAGAAGTTAAAAGATCATCAGGCGCCATTTCTGCCACCTCCAGTGAGATGCCACCACCAGACACATTCTCCTCCCCTCCCTTGTCTGCTTTCTGCAGGGACCATTCCCTTCGGGACACCTTCTTTCACTGTCAACGACGCCGCACCTCCCC